TTTAATCGGGGCTTCTCGCAAGTGATGTGGAGTACTCCTGGCGCCATAGTTCTTGTTATGGCATTGCTTGCGCCAGTCATTTGTATCGTGTTCGGCGTGCTGCTGTATAATGTAAGACAACGACAGAACAGTAAAATTATCAAAGGTATATGTTTTCGCATGTGTTTATCGTTTTTCGCCAAACTTTGAGTGCTGGTTCCATTCAAGCATATGACAGAAAATCGCCGAAAATTTCATTGACAGAAATTCTGCTGATAATTCGCGTCTTTCTTTAGCACAGTAGGTGAACTCTGTTTTAACGCTCGTTGCAGTTGCTAGGGCAAAAATGAGTCCTCCATGATCAAAAGAGAAGACGTACTCACCATCCATATTTGTTTTTAAAACAGCCATCTGTTTACGATTGAGGGTGATGGAGACACACTTCTGCTACCGCGTGGTCGAAGTAGTATAGTACTGCTGCAATGTCTTAGTGGTAGTAAACGAAGAACACTAAGACTGCCTGAACTTTGGAAGTGGGGATACAGTGCTAATTGTACTAGGTTACTCCCACAGCCTCACACAGCTATGCCAAAAGCTCTGATCCTAATCTGCCTATCTCTAGTTAATACTCACCGCCTGTTCGACGTACGTGCATAAACTTTTTGGAGGCCTTCCCAGTGGTCATGTCGCTATTTAGTGTCGTAAAGGTCTACTCTTTTCTGCTTGCTTTAGGCATGGAAAGCACTGAATTCGAAAACTGTAAATAATTTTTTCAAAAGTTTTTAAAGAGGAATTTTACCGTGTTCTCTAAGTAGCCCATGGAAAATTCATGGATACTTCGCGTCGAATATTCAACGAGCAGCGGGTTCAGAAATCACGATTATACTATGACCCAGCAACAGCAATTTCAGCAGCTAGTGATGAAGACGAATATACCCCACTGAAGACCAAGGTTACTTGAGATTTTTCTTCTGTTTCTACCATTTGTAATATAGTACTCTTTTGCATAATCATGCTTTTCAATTTCTTTTTCTTTTTATATGTTCTAACTTAGGTCAAAAACGCATCATGAAGTTGTGCTTGTCCATGCGCATGTGTGTCTGTCCAGGTAATTTAAGGATAAAAGCTGAAATGTCGACACTTTGAGAGCATTGTCTCTGATACTGTGTAGACTGCTATAAAACTGAATTCACTTCCGATACCTCTCGTTGTCGTAACTTTCGAATTTAGCTCCAAAACCTGACTGATATCATAACTTGAGAGTGAAAACTACAAAACGAATTTCCAAGGGCTTACAACGTGGTAAGGGGCGAATGACTTGCATTAAGTTTTTAGAGTCTGTGCACCTTGGATCACAATTTCAGGTTTGAATTCATTGCTTTTAGACAGTTGGAAATTGCATCTTCCAAGGCGGATAACTTAAACCAGTTTCCAGACCTTTTTATTTCCTAGCCTAAAGTGCAAGTTCAGGCTGACCCTGTAGTTCCAGAATGCAGCTGAAAATTTGCTGCTCTGCACCTGTAAATTAAACAAAAACAGCAACATGGTGCACTTTTTCTATATGCTGGTGTGTTCTATTTGCACTGAGGTTACAACACTTATTGAATGCCAAAATACATGATCGCGCATTTCTTCCAGTGCACGCTGCTGTATTTTATGCCTTTTGGCTCAGAACTTTTTATAAGCAGCCTTTATCAAAATTTTTGAAAAAACCTCATTCTTCCGAATACTGACGCCGATTAACGAAGCACTTTCAGAGGGATGGCAATCGCACACCTTCAGTCAATTCATCAAAAAGCTTCACACTCACCAGAGATACTGGCACCATGCAGAATTTGTACAGCAGAGAGGATGGCTTAGTGGATGAAACAAGTGCTGTGTCTTCATTCAGAGGTGCTTCTATCGAGTGTACTGTCAGATGACTAAGTAACTCTTCAAGAGCGCTTTCTGACACACCACTCATATACCGCTTACGTATTGTTTTTCAGGCGGAGTAGCCGCTAATGGAAAATTGTACGATAATCTGCCAGAAACTAGCAGCCGCACTCTAAGGGCTGTTCCGACTTCTACAGTAAATGTGCGGTCGATAACCAGCGCTCATGAAGATGAATCTCAGTTTTGGTTGCCAGGTTATTTACCTTTTTAGTTCGCAAGCTCAGTCTTAGGTGTGAGTAAGCTTGCAGCCAGAACTTGCCTATGCAGCCAACGGAGCTTCTTTTTGGTGCAGCTCTTACAGAGCGGTTTGCTACATCTCTGTGTTATCAGAAGTCCGAAACCCCTCCGTATTTATACTTTCCGAGAGAATTCAGGTAGTCTGAGATGATCCAAATGAAAGTGACTTATCAATAGCCGCCATGTTGGTTTCCTATTTCGTTGGAGAAGCATGTTAGAAAAGACAGCCATGGCATGGCAAGCAACTAGTACTAGTTTACCACTGGAGGAGATTTTGATTTGTGACTTTCTATTACAGGAAATGTAAGTGCAAGCAAAGCAAGTAATGGTGGGATAATTTTGTCGAATTGTGCCATGGGAGCACCATCTGAAATGCAGCTTTCGGAACTACAGTGGTAATCTAAGTAATTTATACGCATCTGTAAAAGAAATTAAGAACTCCAGTACATTTTTCCCAAAACTTTGCAACAAAATTGCTCTTTAAGTATTATTTGAGCAGTTCACATGTAACACAGAAGTTCGTGCGCAAGTAAGTTCGACCGAAGTGCGGCATAGGTGAATATGATAGTAATGTGCTCGCAAATAAAAGCACCCTCTTCCGCTTTTGATAGTATGACAGTAATCCGTGAGAAAAAGGGTAGGGGGGGGGGGGCTTTCAGTTCATAAGTTAAGGCACATGTGTATGCGCCAGGGAACTGTGCTGCTCAAAAAATCAGATTCCTAATTTTTGTGTTTGTAAAGTCACAGTACGATTTTGATATGAAAAGCACGCAATTTTTTTATTTTAGCCGTGGATCTCAAACGTAATAATGATCTGTAACAGCTAGAGGTCTGCATCTCCAACTTGGAAAGGCTGTAAAATTTCACAGTTTAATCAGATAAATTCTAAAAATGCATCTGCTTTTTAGTGCTGAAGATCTGATGCAAGCAAGAGCGATAACCGAAACAGGAGCAGATGGTTCATCCAGAAACAGTCATGTATGCTCCTCAGCCGATAGTTGCTTCTTGCGCACATTCAAATCTCATACACCGAATACGACGACTAGTTTTATGTGCAGTCCTTTTAGCAGAATGTTGCCAGTTACTAGCGATGAGGATATTCGACATGCATGTTACTGCGAGTAGATTTTGAATTCCACAAATGTTAATGACAATTAAAATCGTTATTATTATAAATGAAGCATTAAGAGTATGAAACGATGCAGCTTATTATTCAGAGTGGGTAAGAAAAAACATCCTTCGCCCACTCCTCTTTCAAAAATAAATTTATGGGCAAGGCTAGAAAGAAAACTTTTGAAAGTTCTGCTAAATATCTGATAAGTTTTCCATTTGTGCCTGCGCTGCTTCCTACCGTTCACACCGCTGAGGAGTTCAATCCTCTTCGAATTACTTATATACGGGTATTTCGCTGTAATCTGTTGATTTTGAATATCTGTTATCTCTCTATTTCTGTGAGCTGTCATGGAAAGAAGTATATAATTGAAAGATTTGTAAAATTAATTTCTGTGCATTTTTGCACTTATACAAACAACCAAAGCGAAGCGTTGTATAAGTTCGTATATACTTCTCTCCATGACAGCTCTATTCTGTGATTACGAGAGCTAGGAAGCTGAAATTTATGGGGCACAGTACACAAACCTGAAATCAAAACATATTTCTTGTTTCTCGACATCTGACCTCAGATCCAAATTCACATTAATTTCGCAATTTAGGGTCCAGAAGCTATGAGTTGAAAGATTTGTAAAATTAATTCTTCCTGTAGTCGAGAGCAGTTCGCTATGGCCTGACCTGCAACTTAAGCCTAAGTTCAGCCAATGTCGGGAACATGAGAGCTAGATAATGGAAATTTTAAGAGTTCACTTATTTTGTAGATTGAGAAAAATGATGTGGTTCCAGTCGTCAGTGTCCGTTGAACAGTGACCTCAAACCGATGTCTAATTTAATTTCATAACGTGGCAGGAAAGCTATAAGTTGAAAGCACT